AAATCTAGTATTTAGATCCACTTTGCTTGAACTGTTGGTGCTTGTGACAGATCATTATTAAGATTATTTTACTTAACTGAAAGCACACTGTTCTAATCAGTAATCATCTGAAATTTCACAGACCAGAAGCATTCAATATTTCTTTTATTGATTGTTATTTTTACTGAATGAATGCTATGGTTCCATATTCTATGTTTCTAAGAAGTTATTTTCTCCTTTTTATTTAAAGGTGACCACATATTTAGGGGTCAGTAAGGTATTTTTCATAGTCTAGCTGCCACTCTCAAATACTGTTGACCTCTACATGCTTAAAGATGGATGCATTGTTGGGTAAGACCTTGCTGCATATTAGATATTCACTGACTGTCTTCAAGGTGCTAAATCAAAGATTCCAATTCTTGGAGAAGTTTGCCCTTAAGTTAGTATTAAGTTATTCAGAAGAGTAGAGATATGTGGGATGAATGGGGTGATTTTCATATACTAGACCTCAATAAATAATTGAAGACTGAATTTGTAAAAATGAAGCAAGATTAATTTCAGTAAAAATTGTATAACTGGACATTTAGTTATAGAGAACGATACTGTAATGCTTAAAGTTAGTTCATGCCATCTCCTTGATGATTTTTTTTTTTTTTTTTTTTGAGATGGGGTCTCGCTCTGTCACCCAGGCTGGAGTGCAGTGGTGCAATCTTGGCTTACTGCAACTTCCACTTCCCAGGTTCAAGGAATTCTCCTGTCTCAGTCTCCTGAGTAGCTGGGAACACAGATGCCCACCACCACTCCTGACTACTTTTTGTATTTCTTGGTCTTCTTAATACTCGCTGAACCATTCATCTTCAGTATTATTTCTAAAAAAGTTTTGTTTATATCTAATGTCTGTTTTAGTGATTCTCAATCTTTTGGGGAATTTTGAAACCGTTTAAAGATTTGATAAACCTAATGAATACTTTTACTGGGAAAATGCTCATTCACATATACCTGCCAAGTTATTATATGTATAAATATATATTATATATAATTATTTTATGTTAAATACTTAATACTTATATTAAAATATTTATATTCAATATATATTTATATATTTATATGTAATAGCAATTATATATAATGTTAATATATATCTATCCATTATATATACATATATATTTTACATATATATCTATCTCTATTATTACATATATGTAAGTTAGCAACCCTTGAGGCCTAATCACTGGGCCCTGGACATCTATGCCCTCTATAGGTTAAGACCCAAAATACTTGGCCTGATTACTAATAATAGGTTTTATATAGCAACCGCCTTTGAAGTGCTTATGTATTTTTAAGGGAAACTAAGTTATATATCCTTTAATTTAGACATTAATAAAAGGTGGATTGTTTCTGTTACATTTTTACAATCATGCATTAATAGTAATAAAGAAATAACAAATATATTTAGACACTGCAGGTTCAAAATGAATTAAGCATTCATGTTCAGACTTTTTACTGTTGAAGAAAAAAAGACTAAACTTACGCATTTTCATCAGAAAATCATTTTCAAGTGCCAGGGTTTTAAAACAGTTACCAACTGTTGAACTAAAACTTACTCTGATGAATCATCTGATTTCTAAAAAGCCAATTTATTTTGTGAGAAATAAATATAGTTCTATGGAAACAAACACTATGTTCTTTTACACATTTTTTTTTCAAATAACATGTGAGAGTCAAAGAAATTAGGCAAATGGTAACTAGTATGTGATAGTGTTGGAATTTAATCACAGGTTTACTTAACTTGGATTCCATTGTTTTTTATAGAGAAAAAGCATATTTATGAAATTAGTATTTTAATGTTGTTTTCAATAATTACTGTATCAGTTTATGGTTTCTGGCATATCAAGATGAACAAATGTATACAAAAGTACATTGAGTGGCTCTGCCTTTAATTGTATGAATATAGAGGTGTTTAATGACTAGTAAAATTCAGACAAAAGAGAGTCAACATTCTTCCTCTGTAATATAAGGATGGGTCTTCCCTTCAGATGCAGTCTTCCTTACTGTCCCACTTTCACCACTTTCCCACTTTCACCACATCATGAAATGGTGCCGCATATACTTTTTTAAATCAATAAATCCACAGTTGTATTAAGAAATATTTTATTAACAAAACAGTAAATTCCACTTGCTTAGCATTTCCAATAATGGATAAATTGGCCTTGCAACAGAAAAACAAACAAATAAAAAAAGAAGAAGAAAACCCCTTAGATACCCAATCACACAAAGCACTAGAAGGGTAGGGTTTTGTGGCCTTTCTTTGATGTTTTAGGGATTGACCACTTCACACATTATTGTAGTATTTGTTGTTTTAAAAAAGGCAATACATTACATGGATAAAAAAGAAGCATAATCAATCAGAAAAGTTACAGTCTAGAGATGTAATCAAATTTATGCCAAGTAGTGTGAAATCCTCAATCAACTGCAAACTATGCATGGAACCCTGATATGTTTGGTATGAAGATACTTGGGATTCAAGTCATTTTCTCCTTCTAACTCTGTTCCCCTCTTTTCTTTTTCCATTCAGGAAAAAAATAAGTTTTGCTAGAGTGAGTTTGTGTAAGCCAATAATATTAGAAATAATCTTACTGATAATAAACTATATCATTGCATGTAACTTTAAAATTTATGCTGGGGAGAAACATTGAAATCAATCCCAAACAACACATTTCATAGATATACTGCTTAAAATTACCATTATTCAATTTATTTTCTATTATATTTTAGAATCTAACCAGATGGAAACTGGTTCAAGCTTAATAGATAAAATAGAAAAGCAACCTTAAAAACAAAACAAAACAAAACAAAAACCCTTCAAGCTGTAAATTAGTAGTTTTACACTTCCCTTCTTATTTTACTGGCTTTCCCTGAGTAAGACTGAATGAGACGGGGGAAAAGAAAAGACTCATGAATTCTTTAACGTGGAAAATTAAAAAAAAAAAAAGAAAATCTAGAAAAGAAGTAATGGATATTAAATTTTCATTGTATACCTTCTACTTTCTGGGTCATAAAAAGTCATTAAGATTCTTTCACAACAATTACTTGGCAACCATAGATAGTGGTGATTTGCTATGAAATATACATATTTCTAAGGTGCTGTATGTCTGAAATCCAGGCCACTTCTTGGCTTTTTTTCATCAACTAAAGTATCACAAAAGATGTTTTGCATTTTTTGCCTTTGCTGATTAAAGCTAATTGTAAAGGTATTCTTCTCTTCTACAAAATTCATTATCGCTCTTTTAGAAGGTATTCAAGTAATGCAACCAATTTTTACTGAAGCATCAACTTGCAATCTAATAATGCATTTCTTTTGCACTACCTTCTCATATTAATAATTTATTGCTGTGAACATCAGTGAATAATATGCAAAAACAAGTGTATAATCTATACTTTTCTACTACTTAATGTGTTAAACTAAAACTATATTTAATGATATATATGTAAAACCAGAAAAGTTAAAACATAGTCAATAATTAACAGAGAATGATTTTCTTAAATGGGTAATACAGAATTAAAAATTACTGAAAAATACTTTCTTAGTTGAGAAAATGTTTACTTTCCAGAAATGTTCATCATGCACATCAGATTCAGAGAATATATATATTACTTTATTAGAAAGAAAGTTTTCAATTGCAGCAGCCAGAGTTAAGGTGTAGATTAATCAATTTTGCTTCCATAACCTGCCCACATAATGGTTCTTATTCATGCAGCAGTATATCAGTGATATTCTATTTGATAAGGAAAGGTTCATTTCATTAGGGACTAAAATCTTCTTGGGGTTAGCTGGGAGCAAGACCTCAATGAAGCAAATCACCCCATTTGTCATCAATACCTTGGCACAACCCTCTTCCTTCCTGCTTTTCAATATGTCAATAAATATTTGCTACTGTATGCACGTTTGGATCTTCTAGTACATCTGATGGATTGCTGTGGATTCGTGTGTGTGTGTGTGTGAAAATAGTGAATGTATGTGGGAATGTATTTCAGGGAGAAAAGATTATAAGATACATATGTATATATTTGACTTTCTAATTCACACCTTTCATACAAGTACTAAAACTCAATTGCAACAGAATGAAGGCTGTACATATAAGAAAAAAAGTAGCTGAGTCTTTTTATATACATTCATACATATCTTCCTTAGAATAAACACTACACTGTAATTTCTTTAAAAAATAAAAGTAAGTAATTGTGGCAATTTATAATGGTGGCAAAAAAAAAAAAAAACAAATGAAATAATTGTTGCTCTGATGTCATAAAACTCCCTATACTTAGCAACACTTATAACATTGAATTTACCAAAAATGGCTGAAGAGCAGAGATATATTTTGCATTTTCTATACAACAGGCTATAAAACGTCACTTATCACAGTCCAGAAAGCACACAGAGATGGATTTTATATAAACATATGTAATAACATAATAAGCGTGCATGAAAATTTCCCAATGATTGCATCTATGCCCTCTTGTTTTTGTTTTGAAATTTTGTGTGAAAATGTGCCTTATATTTCACATTTTTGAAAATAAGGCCTCCATACTTTTTTTCCTCTCTCACAACCAGAAAGGGGCTTTTTGAATGTGTTCCTACACAAGTCTTCAAAAAAGCCAGCACTTTGTTTCAAATGCAAGTTCCAACCACTGCTCCAGTTGCACCAGGCGGCAAACTCTTAAAGGTTTGCAGGTTGAGTCACTCAAAAGGACAGTCTTCTCTGGCAATTGGACTAACTGACTTCTCAGGAAAGCGCTAGCACTTTGGCTAAATCCAGGATCATAGGTAGCTTCTTTTTTGTGTTATGCTTTGTGTTGGTTTCTGTGTTGTGCCTTGATGCTGTAATACTCCTTTGCTTTATGAATGCGTGCGGTCATCACTGTCTTTTAGAAATGTTCCAGCAACATAAAGACAAGCAGAGTAAATGAAAACACTGTGGATGTTAGGGAATTTATTGGCCCCTGTTTTTTGTTTTTTGTTTTTCTTTTTTGAGAAACAAGAGCATGAGATACTTGTTTTTATTTTTTAAAAAGTCTTTCCTTCCTGATTGCATTCCCTGTCTTCTTTTGTATGTGCTTCATAAAAAGGAAAGTAAATAAGTTTATATTATGTCTCAGATAAAATGAAGACTATTTCTATACAAGTGTCCATTTAAGATCTTGGGATCAGACGTAATACTCTTTATCCTTGTTTTTCTTATTTTTGTTGGCGCTTTTCGCACTGCTGGGTTGTTTCTCCTTTACGACAGCCCCATTGGACTGCGCTGAGTTACTGATGTAGTTTCGACTCTCGTCCACATGGTATGAGCCTTCATCCCGGTTTCTGTACTTGTACATGGCATAGAGGAGGATAAGGATGCACAGGGCGGCAGCAGCTACTATCCCAACGACCATACCCGTGGTGCTGCTGGACTCCCGGATCACTTCTGCTGAGCCTGGGTACGGCTCTCTGCCGCCTGCTCGGGTTGGGTTGGCTATAGAAAAGAGGATGAGAACAAACACAAAGTGATCATTGAGTTCACTGAATACCAGAGAGCTACATTCACATTTAGTATCTATTTCTAACAGCACCTATGTGTTAGGAAAGGTATCCTGTTGATACCTGTAGCCATCCCTCTGCCTCATGGGTACTAAAAACTAGGGACTATGATTCAAAGTTCTCTGCGAGAGATTTGTTGCTATGTCTTCTTTTTCACAAATCAATTTTGTTTACAGAGTTCTGTAAGCATTGCCCTAAATAAACCCCAATTAGCTCTAAAGGGCCATGTTGGTGGGTTAAGTGGAAAAACCACAAACCCAGCATAAAGAAAAGCAGAACAGCCCTACCCTATAATACTAGAGGGAATCATAAGAATCAAATTGGTGTTGCTCTAGAACATAGGTCTAACTAGACTGAATTAGGAAAACTAAATTTAGGACTACTTTAGAAATCATATTCCCTTGTATTTTAAAGAACACAGTATTGAACAATAAGATAATTCACACATTTTAACTGTCTGCTTTTTAAAGTATAACTTTAGTTACAGTTTTATAAATGAAAATAGACTAATTTCCATTTTGTTGGAGATTTACTAAGTATGTGTGTATTTTATTAATTGATTGGGGAGCTCCCAAGCTAAATTTTGGAGAAGAAAGTAATAAAATATTCTTTCTCAGTTTTAAATACAGTCTAGATTGATTTTTTAGTCAAAACTCAGAACTACCTAATAGATAATAATAGAAGACTGGTTAGTTTTATTCAACTGACAAAACCCTTCTTCAGTCTTCCCAAAGTATAAGTAAGGTTCTTTCTTGGATGAGAACAATGGATTTTGGGGTGCCTATATCTTCTTGAAGGCTTGGTCAGACACTGAAATTGATCGGTGGGGAAGAATGGACCTGAGATTTAATTGGTAGCTAGGAGGAGAAGGAGCAGCTTTTTTCCTCTATATATAATAAACTTTTTTGATATTAAAGGATAGAAACTGTAGAGAGAGAAGAAGATTCTATCCTACTCTGACTGTAGGTCATTTTTTTCCTTGTGAATTGTGTTTTCTGCTTTTCCCTGAATCTCTATCCTCTCACTTGTCCTACATAAAAATATCACTTTTCAGATGTAATGTTTTAAAAATGCTACAACTTTCAAAACACGATTCTTTGCCAATTATGCATAATGAACTTAAATAATCTCGATTGCATATATATTAGATAGGATGTATGTGTATAAGTGTGTGTTCGTGTGTATGTAAGAACTGAAAACTTAAGAAGACTAAAATTATGCTTTTATTTCACTACTACTAAACATCATTTAGTAATTAGTTTTAATATTTCTGCAAAAGTTCTTGTTAATTACTGGGAATCATTTTACTAAACATATGGCTCTATACGGCTCTGTAATTCCATTTTCAAATATCACCAAGATTTCTTTTGCCTAAATGTGTATGTGTGCGTGTGTTTCTGTGATTTTCCTTTCCTTCTCCAAATAAAGTCTTAACAAATATAGCCATTTCCAAGGTAGTAGCTCTCAGTCTCAAATTAGCAATATGCTATGTTCTGGTGCTACAAAACGTAGCAGGTGAAATTTTTTATGCTGAATATGTCCTTGCTTGTTTTACAAAAGCCCATGGAGTGTGCCTTAATGAAAAGCTTTGGAGTTGCTTCTGTGGCCAAGGTGGAAGGAGACAAAGACTGTAATCCACAGTATTTGATTACAGGAATTAATTTTCTCTCATGAAGAATAGAATCTCCTGCAGTAACTCTGTCACTACCTGACAAACCAAAGGCAGCACTTTCTCTTTTAAATACAGTCATCTTTGCCAAAGTGTGCCAATTAGCTCAGCTGCTTTCACTAAATGAAAACTTTCATTTTACAGAGCATTCTTTTACTATGGTGTCTCGAGAGCTAAAAAGGGAATTTTATTTAAATGTTACCTAAATCATTTTTTTCCAACCTGATGGAATGCTTTCATTTTAAACACATTTTCACAGTTACCTCACTTTTACTTTGTCTGACAGAAGGGAATAGGGAGAATGGAGATAACATTTGAATCATTTAGCTTATGACAGTAAAATTGGAGAATTGATGGAATGGAGGGTTTATATTTTGTATACTAAGAATAGACATGTATTTTTTTGATAAGGAATTGGTATCAAAAACGGACTATCTTATCAAAAAAACATTTATTTTATTTTTATCTGCTACAATATTTCTGAGAGGTTTTCAAAACAACTATGCACATAGCCTATTTGTGTTAAAATAAGAATGAGGTCACAAAGACCACAACAAAGCCTGAAATCCTGCAACTGTGCCATACACATTTGAAAACATCTCCCGTTTAAGGAAAATATTTTCTTTTTTGCAACACTAGCCAAATTGTTGCTTAAGTCATATGGGGCCTAAAAATATCTCTATACAAAACCCAGATGTAAAAATTCTAAATATCATGTTTCTTAAAAATATAACCTACAAAAGCTCTACCAAAATTAAATAAACCCAATAAACATGTTATCTTTCTTTTCCCTGATTCACATTAAAATTTTAATAACCATCATAGCAGATATTATTGTAGGTATGTTTGGAATACTCCCATGTCTGACTGATCAATATTCTTTTTCTATTTATGCTTCAAATAGGAAGGCTAAGTGAAATTTTTCTTGACTTTTCTTCTAAGACTAGAAATATTTATGTGTTGGTTGGGCAGGGTGGCTCACGACTATAATCCCAGCACTTTGGGAGGCCGAGGCAAGTGGATCACAAGGTCAAGAGATGGAGACCATCCTGGCCAACATAGTGAAACCCTGTCTCATACAAAAATTTGCTGGGTGTGGTGGTGCACACCTGTAGTCCCAGTTACTTGGGAGGCTGAGGAAGGAGAATTGCTTGAACCCGGGAGGCGGAGGTTGCAGTGAGCTGTGATCGCACCACTGCACTCCAGCCTGGCAATAGAGTGAGACTTCATCTCAAAAAAAAAAAAAAAAAGAAAAAAAATATACATTCATGTGTTAATATAAATATATATATTTATGCATTAATATAAATATATATATTTATGTGTTAATATAAATATATATATATTTATGTGCTAATGGGACATCTCTCCCAGATATGCAATAAAAGGCCGAAGACATTTAAATATATTCAGTAATTATAAATGTGGCTTCTCTTATTGTCGCTAATGATTTATTTTGATGATCACTGAAAAATCTCTGAAGAAAATTTATATTAATGTAAATATAGAGAATAGTATCAATGACTAATATGATTAAATGTCTTTTTATGTAATTTGTTCGAAATTTATATAAAAGGGAAATGCTGTCATCTCAGCCATTTACGAAAATGTGAAAAAAATAAGATAAACTTATAATTAATTTCATGGATTTAAGAATTTTGCATTCCCTCTAAACTATATAATAAACCAAATAACACATTTTAAAACAATTAAAGCCATCTGCTACATGTTTTGTTCTTAGAAGTGCTGAAATGTGAATAATGTAATTAACTAAAATTTACTTTCACCCCTTCTTTCTTTGTTCCAGCATGTGACAAAGAAACAAGTGAAAGAGAATAACTTGTTAAAAAAGATTTAACTTGTTAAAAAAAGCAAGTGAAAGAGAATAAAGGAGGAGGAGCTAAAATAATGGAATACAAACAAATAAGCTTAAGTCTTTAAGTCCTGAATCTTCAAAGATTAACTCTGATGTGTAGGTAAAATTAAGCCGACGTAGCCAGTTCGTTATATTGGGCCCAGGGATATAAGGAACTTGGATCAATGGAAAACTTCAGTAGGACTGACATGTGAGGAGAGCGAGAATGCACACCTTCATCACAATACGAAGGCTTTGACTTGTGCTGGCATTTTTAACCTAAATGATTTGGAAGCTACTGATTATTCTAGCAAGGAAACAGAGCAGTACAATAATTATGACCCATTTCATATTTGTATTCACTTCTTTCCTACTCACTTCTGAGATTCATTTAACGAAATGGCTATAGAAAAATTCCTGGGACTCTTGCACTGATAAAGCATGTTACCTTAAAGGACCACTGAAAAGTAGCTTTTAATCCTTCCTCTCTCACTCTCCTAGCATTTGGTAAGATATGGTGGTCTCTAGAAGTTTTCCACATGGTCTGCTTTGTCCCTGTAGATTTATCAAGAATCCTATGAATTTTCTTGTTTTTTTGTTGTCTAATTAACATTGTGGTAACTTAGGTAAACATAAGCTGTCAAGTGTTTGGACAGTTAGTAACGTATTTCTGCATTATAGTCTAAATCAATTTGTTCCTATCCAATGATAATTCAGATGATAATTCATTGTGGAAAATGAATAGCTAATGCTAAAGGCATATTTTAGTGCCTTATCACATAGAAAAAATAAATGCAACTGTTGCTCTGAATTAAAAATTAAAAAATAAATCTTTCAGATTTTAATTTGTCTTTTGCTGAGATAGTTATTTCAAACTACAACAACAGGAAAGGAAATCGCCCTATGTGTTATTTCTTTATTTTTGATAGTCTTTGATACTGTATCTGTGAAAGAAAATCATTTCCTCAAATTAGAACAAATTTAGATCCAATTAAGAAACACATGGGGAAAATATGTTCGAGACACATTAGACTTCAGTACAGAGCAGAGAGGGATGTCAGTGCAGGCTTCATCTCTTACCAGCTTCTTGCACCCTCTGTTGCTTCCTCCATGCTCCTCTCTATTTCTCCTCCCACTTACCCCTCTTTATCGCCTCTGTGCCTTGGTCTTCCAGCTCCCGAATTATCCTTGTGGGGGCCCTCCCCACCCCCAGGTAAATGAAGAAGGTCAGGCCAGCAGGGGTCAGGACTGTTTGCCTCTTGGATTGGTGTATTACTTAGGAAGGTGTTCAATAAACCACAAAATTTATTGTCAATTTCCTAATTTCAAAACACAATGTAAAATAATTCTTACTGGCACAAGTGTCTACGTGTGATTATTTCAGCAGAACAGGTTTTGTGTTTCATATTGA